ACATAGATTGTGATAGATGTGCTTGTTTTTGACTGATTTTTTTTTTTTTTTTTTTTTTTTTTTTTTTTCTTAGGGTTTACCCCATGCATTTATAAGAAATTATTCGTCGATTGTAACACAGAAAATCTACATCACCCTTTCCTCAAAGCCTCAAAACTTTTGCTCGAACATTACACTTCCATTCACCAGCTGCCTATAGGTTCATGAGATTAAAACATCAAATAAATGGTCAAGCTAAACCACTCATTCCAAGTCTAGAATCTTGTATGACACCATTAATAAAATCTCAGAATTTGTCATGCAAGAAAAAGGAAAGGAAGAAATAATGATTTTTAATATTACCTTTGACAAATTCAGTATCAAATAGCATGAAAAATTGGATGAAACCACCAAGACGTGGGAAAATTTAGTTAATTTAGGTGGACAGCTATCAGAGACAGACCTCATTGGCGAAGTTAAACCAGCTATGAAGACCTTAGTGTTTATGTTAGTACACATTAACAGCTGATTAAAAGCTCCCGTAGCCCACTACTTAATTCACTCATTAAACGGAGTTGAAAAATCAATTATTTTACGTGATCTGCTCTTGGCATAAAAAAAAAAAAAAAAAAAAAAAGAAAAAAAAAAAAAGAATTTTGAACTGCTAAACAGCCAAACTTCATAACCATTTGCGTAAACGACATTATATGTAGTTATCGTTCGCACCAATGCACACTCACGGGGGTTGAGCACCGAACTGTAGACGCATATATATATGATCTCCCCATTGTCCGGACAGCTTAGCGCACTGTCACGGAAGGTCTATAATACTACGGGGATGGAGGACAATAAGGCCGGATCGGTAAGTGTGGACATGTACAAGTAAGAACGTGAAAGAGGGGGGGGGGGGTTGGGAGTAGCGGAGAGAGCAAAACGACGCTCGTAATTACGGGGCGTTTAACGAAGTTTCGGAATTAGCCTCATCAGGCTTGCACTGCCACTGTTGTTATATATATGTACACGCAAAGAGCAGGCGAGTGGGGGGTAGGGGGTTAAGTTCCCGAAATCCATTATCCTTGTGTAGGAGAGTCGGATCGTATATATAATTATATAGTATATACACAGGGGCGTCTCGTCTCATTGCGCGTGTCACTTTGGCGGAAAGAAAGGACCCAAAGCCGAGAGAACGGGGTACACTGCACACAGAGGCCGGGAGATTGAATAAGACGGATGGGAGCGCGCGGGCAAGTTTGTCGCAGCTGTATACGGAGCGAAGGGGGTTGGGTAAAAGTACATCGGGGGGGGGGGCTGATGGTTTTAAAGCTGCTGCCGAGGGATCGACGACGAAAAGACTGCTGCCGCGGGGCAACTTTGGCAATTAGCTGTATACATGGTAGATACGGGCGAGGAGGGATCTTGGCGACTCAGATTGAGATAATTCACATAGTCGCTTGCTTATATTTGCTGCATTTGTGCAATCATTTTAAACGAATCATTCGTACGTTATATATACATATATACTTGTGACAAGATATTTTTATGATGTTGCGATTTCGAGGAATACACCGCTATTGGATCTTTGAACAGTTGGGGGGGGGGGGTAATATTTGTCGAGCAAACAATTGTCAATCAAATGGAAGGTGAACGATGGTGTCTCGGCGTTTTTTGAGGACACACGTCAAAGACATCGCTATACAGGTCAAAGCGTCGGACTGTCTGCGCGTCGAATGGACTTTTATTTCCAGTGATGTATGGCCAGATACAATCGGCACACGGTTTGGGACGCGTTTGAATTTACCGTCTCGCCGGATCGGGTGGAAAAGTTCGTCGCGAAATGATAATCTTTGTGGTACCTGGGACGGGTACCCGGTGGAAGGAAAAAAGAAAGTGCAGATGTAAAAATGCGGCAAAGATGGAAAAAAAGAGCAAACGAGTGACACGAAAATCGAGAAAAGTAGAAAATCACCAGCGGCATACGAGGGATATCGAGAGGATACGGTTGGGAAGATGAAATCTATGACGGGGGGGGGGGGTCGGGCAAAGTTTTCGCTTCATTTCGCGGCGCAGCTCGATTTTAATTAAGACTGATTGTTTGAGCGCCCTCGAGAGAGCTGGAAAATCAATTCTCGCTCCCCGGATCTCTGCAGCTTCGGCCCCGGCGCAGTCGTTATCTTTTTTTTTTTTCCTCCCCCCCTATAGACGTGGATGTAAAAACGTGTCGGTTATTTGCGGGGATGTCGCGGTATTGAAATCCGCTTTTGCTCTCTTTTCAATTTTCTTATTCAAGAGCCCATCACTTTCTCCGCGCTGTACGCGTGATCGTCCACCAGCACCGATGCCTCCCCGAGCACAAACTATTTCGATTGGTCCACTTTTTTTGTTCCTCCCATTTGACTCTCGATACACGTGCTGCGGAGAGCTTTTTAATTTCGTTGGTTTGCATGGATTGTTGGCCCCTTTGACCCCTGATTCATCCATGTGTAATTAACTTGTGTACTTTTATCGCGGAAATTGGATGTCCACTTTGACAAAGCCAACAATAAAACATCGATGATTGCGAAGAATGAAAAAAAAAAAAGAAAAAAAAACAGCCAAGCAGAGGAGTGTACGTTTATTAAACAGCAAACGAAAATTCGTTACACCAGAGCACACCCCTGCAAAGTTGTTAATTAAAAGTGCACGTAAATCTTTTCGCTAACGAGCTGTCGTCCGTCACCTCGTATACTCTCGAAAAGAAAATCTAAACACCGGCCTCGCCAGGGCTATTCCATACACACACACACACTCGTACCTGTATATAACTTTACAGAGGCGGACACGATCTCCGCTCACCTTTCGTTATAACGCCCAATAAAGTTGTCGGCGCGACTAATTAATCCGCGCGAAAGATTCAGTCCTCCGTTATACGTCATAACTCTCTCGCGTCTCGTACTCCCGTGTCGCTGGTATACACACACGTATAATACAGAAGATCGTATACACGTTGGTGCAAAAGTTTTCGTGTAGCCGAGGGAGAAGCTCCCACCCTTCCGAAACGATTAGGGATAAACGGGAGCTCTGATCTCTACGGCGCGTGCACGTACGCGACTCTAATCGTGCGGCTTGACGTAAATCTCCGTGCGCCGTGGAAGTTGGCCCGAGACAAATCGACGTTTGAGCTTCGATGCTATATTGGTTATTGGTACATTTAATTTGTCATCTCGATTTTAGTCCCCAAAATCATCCGTATGAAAAGCAACCAGTGAACGGAAGAAAAAATGTGCCGATTTGCGTTGCAAACTTCTCACGAGGTCCCTCTACATGTATACAGTTGAAAAAGAAAAAAAAAAAAAAAATAAATGCAAGAGTGTCGGAAGTCAAATGGTGTATCCCCCCCCCACCCGCGCGAATCATGTTACATATTCGTATACCGCAATTCCGTCGATATAATTGTACGAGCGAGACGAGGGTTGCTTCTCGCTTCCGCCTCTCCTCGCGCTGTTTTCACTTTTCGTTCCTTCTTTTTGTTTCCGTTGTCACATAAAAAGTTTCTGTAGAGCCAAGAGACGGACGATTGAATGACTGAGCGCCTGCTGTAAAAAAAAAGAAAAAAAAAAAACCCGCCAGGAGGAGCACACACACGACTGATTCTCGCAGTGGGTAAATATCGTTTCAATGTCGAATTGCGCGTTTTGCAAGCAAAGTAAGCGAGTTGGATTTCCTAGACGCCTCAGCCGAGAGGACCGAAGCTCCGGTTGCTCTAGCCTACTCTTAGTCAAATTACTCCCAATCGGGGTGTCCTCGGTTCTCTCGGACGCTGAACTTGCTCCTCCCGGTGATGGAAGATACTACACTCAAAATTGATGAAAGAGCGTTTCGTCTAAAAAAAAAAAAAAAAGTCTCGACTCGAGCGGGATTCCCGAGGTCCTTTTCGCCCACTCCGAAAGCAGGGGCGAAGTGGGTCCGACAGGCGCGCGTGTTCAACCCGGTCCCTATTACCGAACGGTGTATTGTGCAATTTTTTAAGTAACCAATTTACGACGACGTGGCTCGGCCAATCATTACATTTTTTTACAAAGTTTGACGGTTTTCACGCACAAATTTACGTGTTTGCGAGCTAAAGGTGTTTACAATGAACGTGTTTTTTCTTTATTTTCCAAGCCGATTGGCCGACGCAGTGTTTCGTGAAAAAGAAAAAAAGACAAAAAAAAAAAAAAAAATAAAGACAAAGTCGTTTCGTGTGTTGTAAATGGTTAGTTGTAGAGCAACAAAAAAAAATATATGTATACAAATCATACCGATCTCTTCTCTTCGGCGATCGCGCCGTTCGATGTGTGCGTGTGCGCGAGAGACTTTTCCCCTCCCGACCGAGAAAGCAATAAAACTCGCTATCGAAATCGTTTACGGCTTCAATAACGAAACATAATTAAACGAGTAATGAAACCGAGCACTTTTTGTACAGCCAGTCGTGAACGAAACAAAAACTATTATAATCCGCGAGAGAGGAGCTCCGCGTTGGAGTGTAAATTTTGTACTCTTCCCGAGGATCTTGTTGCGATTGCTGTAATAATGTATTGGTGTGGTTGTGTGCATATGATATATTATATTATACATTATCCGGACAAACGAGCAAAGAGTCAACTGCTGTAGCTGTACACATTTAAAACAGAGGAAACAATATCGAGTGACGTTTTAAACGATGGATAGTCAAAAGTATTAAGAAAAGCTGTATCATATTTAAAAAAAATTAAAAAAAAAAAAAAAAAAANAAAAAAAAAAAAAAAAAAAAAAAAAAAAAAAAAAAAAAAAAAAAAAAAAAAAAGTATCCGAATGAAACTCGATACAGTCATCATCTGGGACAAAAGCCCCGCTTATACGTCCTCGATATGTATATACCCAATAAACTGATAGTCCCATAGTAGAGTTTTGACGATACGTATCGCATTTCCGTGCTCCCTCCACCCCTTGGCCGTCTCGACGAAAGCTACAGTTCATGAAGCGGCTAGTCATCCTCGTGTTCCATCTGATGTCGCTGTCCGTGGCGGTGTACCTGCGCCCGACCGAGTCCGACGTCCCCCTCATGAGGTGGCCCGAGGAGGTAAGCGAGGCCGCCCGCGCCGCCGCCGAGTGCATCACCGTCCTCGGCGTCCTGGGCTACATTCTCATCCAACTCGGCGGCGAGATCGTCAACATTGGCTTCGTCTCGTTCCTCAAACAACTGGTACACGTGTCCTTAGCTGCTTTTTTTTTTTTTTTTTTTTTTTTTTTCGCAAGTACAAGTATTTACTATTCACGCCACAATCAGTAGAACAGCCCGAGTATGGTCAGACGCGCGTCACGATTCTCACCCACTCTGTTTTTACGGATACTAATGGACCGTAAAATGTTCCCAGAGCCACGAGCCGGCCAAATTCATCTTTCTGATGAGCAACATCCTTATACTGGCCTGCATCCCGTACAGACTGTCCGGGGAGCGGCACATCGAGGACGCCATACTCATCGTTGCGGTGCCGGGCTCCTGGTTTCTCCTCATGTTCTTTGCCGGGTGAGTGTAGTCAAATACTTATTGAAACTCTCTCGACCCCCTGGTTGTGCGCACCATCGAAAAGAGTCAAAGGTGTATGAAAAAACAGAGCCAAAGAAAAATCTCGGAGCCTCACGCGTGGTCGAGTCTTATTAACGCGGGAAAACGATGCCGACCCATCGTTTGCAAAGTATTGAATTTTACTCCATCCGTACAGCGTATAACAAATACGTTTTCTACCTTTTCCATTTACACCGTTAACTGCAGATTCGACGTTTTTGCTCTCGCGTGTCTGTACGTTGGTGTAACGTGCGGATGTGAAAAATAAACCAAGCGAATTTTCGATAAAACCAACCCTCGGTGTTTTTGACGCGAACGCGCCATATTATATCTATACGCACATTGCGCACGAATGATGTGGAATGTGGGCGCTCGACGTGTTACATTTTAATGGTTGTTTTTTTGTCCGAGCAACGAAATTTCGCGCCACGCCGACACAGAAGCGAAAATCGTTTTGCCGATGGTTTATTGATTATCATCCATTCGAAGCACAAAATTGACGCCCTCCGCCCTATATATTTGTCCGACGATGCGTATATATACATTAGTCCGTAGGAGTTGCCGTTGGATATTATTAACGTCGAAATTCCACCGAAAATTTTGACTCTCCCTCGAAATTCCGTGCTCCGTAATCATAAATTGAGCGCAGAAGTAGCCCGAGAGAGCTTGGCAAGCCTTTTTTGCTCTCGAGGCTGCCGATACACGCGGCTCTGCCCTTCTTCCAACCGGCCATTAAAGAGACATTACCCCGACGAGTTTGTCTGAAAAAACACACCCTTCGCTCGGGTACACTTTACCTCACACGCGTCCGAAACTTGGTACACAACACCCCCCTTCGTTCCTCGGGCTCGTGCAAAACAAAAAAAGAAGAGACAAATAGCAGCGAAAATCGCGTGTCTGACGCGTGTTTGTCCCTTTTTTTTTATCATCGTCCATCTCGTCCACTTGTCTATGCGACACGTATATATTCTGGCATCCTGCGGAGGAGTATGAAAAAACGCAGATGCCGGGGCACTTAAAGAGCGGGAGGGTGGAGAGGGGAAAAAAAGGGGCTACGGGGATTTAAGCCGCGTCCGCCCGAGTTTGTACACGCGGGTTGTTAATTATCCCGGCTAGACCTTAAACAAGCGCGATGATCGAGCGATTCTCGCCTTTTTTTTTTTTTTTTTTTTCACTGTCCACTCGAGCGGGAAGAAAAAGAAAGTTTGTCAACCTCTGGAGAAAGGTCGAGCCCACCGCCCCGTGATTTATGTAAATTTCACTCCGAGACCTGTAAAGTATGTATACGCGGGTACAAGAGCGTAAAGTATAGCCCCCGTATACGTGCGCGGCCGCAGAGACACGGTGTGTCAGAGCCGTCCTCGTGGTGGTCGCGCGCCGCTGCACGTCGTCAGAAATTACCGGACCATTCATAAAGCACGACTCCCTCCCGGTTTGCCTCGCTGTCAAGCCTTGACGTGTAATTTCGGATGTAGGTACGGAGCTACGTGCACTCGTTACCGTCGTTGATCCTTCCGACGCGGGTCTACCTAATAAAACTCGTTTTCGCCTCAGGAGTCTCGGGTTAATCCGAAAAACGGGTTGGTAGGTAGTAGGTATACATACACGTTACTTCACCCCGGCGAGGTGTTTTATTAATATTATAAATGACCACCTTCTACATCGAGTGTCACAGTTTACCCTTACCAAGGCCATACTGCCAAAGTAACGCGTGTACATCATATACCCCAACTTGGACTCGTAGCAGTGCGCGAATCTAAATCCGCATATAATTATACACCCACGTGAAGCAGAGCCAAGTGAGCCGTCCTGACCGATCGAGTTACCGTATATTATAAACGCCGTTTAGTCTCGGGTGTATGGAGTTCGTGCTTTAGAACACGATAAAACAGCGCCGCCCTTCCGACGCAGTTCACTTTGGAGAAATGGCAGCGTTGATGCCCCCTTCCAAGTGAAAATATCCGGGATTTCGGGGTCCCCCTGGTGGTGTATTTGCGCTCGACTAGCGGAGACGCGAATATGAGCCACGGGATTACCGATACGCCAGATGCTCCCCCATACATGTATATGTGTATACACCTCAGGCCACAATGATACGCGCCCGCTCGGTGCTTTTAACGCTCCTCCGCTATATACTCTCGTGCACGCGTCTTTTTTTTTTCCAGCTGTATGCTCGTGCGTCTTCTCCGATTCCCTTTTTTCTTCTTCTTCTTTTCTCTAATAGCTGTCGAGCTCTCGAGCGCAGAAAAAAGAGGGTTTTTGCCCCTTCTCGTGTACACCCGGGGTTTTTTTTTTTTTTTTTTTTTTTTGCGGTCAAAGACGAGCAGACGCGTATCGCGCGCCCGCGAGCAAAGGGCAAAAAAGATGTACACGGCACGGCTCTTCAAAAGAGACATACTTACACACACGCGAGCGCGACGGGGGCAATTTTTGGTCTCTTGGAAGAATATATGAGCTTCCCCAGGGGTTGGCGCTTGAGATCCGCGTACGTCGTTAGATTTTTACCGGTGCTCTCTGTGCAACCGTATTTTCGGAGCATTTCGCAGGGAGTATCGATTTGAAGCTGCACATGGGTTTGTTTTTTTTTTTTTTTTTTTTTTTCTATTGAGACCAAGGAAAAAATAATTCGGTAATGCTTTCAGCAGTTTTTTTGCTCTCAACAACGTTTCAAAAAAAAAAAGGGGGGGGGGGAGCTTCACAAAGTGATTTATGGTTCCGAAGAGCATTCGCTGGATTTTTTTTTCCCCCGAAATAGTTTACCCCATAAATTGTAATCTACGTCGGTATGCATACACATATTACGAAACCGAGACATGCACGTATGTGAGTGCATTAAAAAAATGTGCAGCGCCTGACTTTTCCAGCGGAAGCGTAAATATAACAGCAAATCACCACGCGACGCTGAGTTTATGCGCATGAGATAATTTTTACGCGAAAAGCGTGCAAGCATGACTCGGATTAATCGGCACGAAGCCGGTGGCGAAGTTATATATATTATATATTCAGGAGTCGAAGAGACAAAAATGTACAAGGAGCAGCGGAAAATTCAAAAACCACGGAGAGCCACGAGAGCCCAAAAGGACCCGAAATGGATAGAGTGAGTGTAGGAAAAAAGAGGCCGGGGTCGCGCACCGGGGCCAAGGAGTTAATCTTCCGGCGGGCGAAAAAGAAGAGTCGCGCGGCCCCGGCGAGTCGATAAATCCCCTTATAACGATCTGGAAAGTCGCTCCTCCTCCTACTCGTAGCTTCTGGTACACACACACACACACAGAGGGGGGTAGAGGAGGCGCGGGCGCTCGTTATCGAGCGGTCTTGCCTCTGCGCGCGTTATTCGCCGTTGCGGTGCTTTCCTCCAAGCTTGGAAAGAAGACGGAGAGAGAGAGTAGCTTCTGTTTGCGGGAGAATATAAACCCCTCGACCTTTACCTGTACCGCGTGGCGCCAAATCGTGTGCATGTATAATTCGAAGGTGCGCAGGGGGTGGAAAAAAAAAGCCCGACCCTCGCGTCCACTTGACACGTATATAATATCTGTTGTTTCGGTTTTTGGGTTATTTCGCTCCGCGGGGCCTTTTCGCGGCCGATTACCGGTAAAAAAAAAAAGCGCGTGTTTTTCCTTTTCGTTTGTTTTCGCGTTAACCCTCACGTTTCCGTGGCAGCAGTGGGGAAGGAAATCCAGCGTTGTTCTTCTCTCCCTCGCGGTGAGTTATGTACTCGAGGGAGCCGCTGGCCCGATGGCCGATATGATTTTCCCCGTATGGGGGGAAAAAAAAGGTACGAGTTGCGCGCCACTGCGGCTCTTTGGTTTTTCTTTTCCCTCCCAGCCTCTCGGAAATATCGCTCGGACGTGCAGGTAGTTTGGACCGTTATTTTTCGGCTTTTCAATTTTCGATACGTGAGTTATCGCGCGCCCCTGTAATTTCGCAGCCGAGACCTGGCGATTAATTTCACCCCACGGGGGAGACACACGGGTCCCCGTAAATTCTGCGACGCAAAGGGAGTATGTGCCGTTAATGGGCGTCGCAGGCGTATACAAGGCGATGCGTATACTTGACTCTATTCGATGGTGAGAGCGATAAATATGTAGGAGCGGATGGGGGAGGTGGTAACGAATGAAACACGGTGATGAGTACATGTACCGATGCAGGGCGATCCGGTTGACGGGTCCTTTCGTCACGATGGTCTACAGCATGATAACGGGGGACATGCTCACCTTCGGCATCATCTACAGCATCGTCCTATGCGGCTTCTCCCAGACCTTTTTCTTCCTCTACAGGGGCTTCCCCGGCGTCAAGTCGACCCTCTATCACTCCTACTACTCGACCTGGATGGCGCTCTTTCAGATAACCCTTGGCGATTACAGCGTGAGTTCTAACCCCCCGAGCTTACTATTACATTGCACCGTATCTTTTTCAAATAATAATAATAATCACCGCTTGTTCACCCATACATCCTCTTTGCGAATAATCAATAGCACTGGACTATACAGCTCTCTGAGCTCCCCTTAACTTTTTTTTTTTTTTTTTTTTTTTTATTTTTTGTTACCTCATTGTGTTGAAAAGAAATTTTTTTCATTTCGGTGACCCCGGGTGAACAGAACAAAGGAATAATATCTTCATGATCCTCGGTTGGTGGCACATTCCTTCAAATGAAAGTGCCGTTCGAATCGAAATACTGGGTAAACCTTCGTCACTGAATTTACGAAAAAGCTGCGAGAAAAAAAAAACACCTTTCGCCGGAGAAAGTCGCGTGACAGAAGCGCGTTTATAACCCCCCCCCTAGGCTAAGCTCGGCCAATAAAATGTGTCGCGAGGCCGTTTCCCGAGCCGAAGAATTTTTCTCTCGCGTCTGGTGTAAAATTTTCAAACTTTCCTCCACGGGTGTAATTCAACGCACTTGACGTAGTAGATGTACAGAGTTTGAACGGAGGGTGGGAAAATATATGAAAAAAAAAAACGGGTTTACTTTCGTCGGTAATAAAAACTCTCTTACTATTCAATTTTCAGCCACCCTGTAGCGCTGCATGGAAAAAAAAGAAAACTTGCACGGAGACGCAAAGTCGAGAACAAAAGCTCGAAGGGTAATTTTCCGTGTGAACTTGTAGCATGGATATGGAATCTATATACGTGTATCCAATATCGCGCGAAGCTAAACTTTTTTTACAATTTCGAATAAACGCTCTCGCTCCTTTTTTTTTGTTTTTTGTTTTTTTTTTTCGATATCGCTCGGAAAAATCACGCCACGTCCGTAGAAGAAGAAGAAACAAAAAAAGGGGGGCATTATTAATTGCGCGGATGCACCGAGGGGGGCAAGAATAACGGAGCGAGCAGCTGGTTTTTAATCGGCAGGATCCGGCAACCCTATTGTCGGCGCTACCGGTGAGCAACGCACAATGGCCCACGCGTATTTCACCTCGTGTTATTGTTCGCTGCTCCTCCTTCCGGGCGCTTCCAGCTCGCGAGTCCTCGATCCGCCCGTTGTTCATTCTCGCCCCAGTCTTCGATCACCTACCCGTGTGGCTGGGTAATGATTTTTTTTTTCCTTCCAATAAAAAAACACATGCATTTTTTTTGACATCATCGGGAGCGCATCACCCATATAAGCACAGAGTCGATCTAATCAGTACAAGTCCAATCCTGCAAAACACACACGCACGCGTGCACGTATATAGATCTACAAATCAGCCAAAGTCCACCCCGTGGGAGGACGCGGTGGTGTTTGTGGTGGGTATACACACGGGGTAAATGAGAAAATCATCGGACCGATGCCCCGCGTATAGGTATACGTAAATATATATAAGTACAGCCACCGCATGGCGTTTGTGAATTCGCAAACACAGAGGACCACGAGCGGCTGACGTATTTGGGCTATCGCTTTAGATTTTCTAGATGCTCGCGCACACCCGATATATGTGCGTTTGCCTGCCGCACTAATTTTCAGAGTCTCGACACTCGACGTTGTACATATATATGCACTCTCTTCCGAGCGAACTTGTTGTTGGGTCCTTCGTATATCGTACGCGTATATTGTGCACATGCTTTTGCGGTATTTTTTATTTATTTTTTTTTCAAATGATTGCACACGCACGCGCCACCGGGCATTGCGCACGTTTTATGCACCTCAGCGACTTATCGACAGATCCGTATACGCGTGTGCCGATATTGAAAATGTAAAATTGCGAGGGCACGCGGAGCTTTTGACGTGGCCCATAACGCTTACAACCCACGCTTGGTCGATACACATACATGACTTGCTCCGATTGCTGCGACACGCGCTCTCTACGTGTATTTAACGTACAATGTCATGGAAATTGGCATTTTTTCTTTACAATTTGTTGCTCCTACCATGTGAAATATTTATACACGTGTAGTACACGGACCTGAGCTTCACGACGTACCCGAACCTCAGCAAGACGGTATTCGCCATATTTCTGGTCCTCGTGCCGATCCTGCTGCTCAACATGCTGATAGCCATGATGGGCAACACCTACGCCCACGTGATCGAGCAGAGCGAAAAGGAGTGGGTCAAACAGGTGACTCGTACTCCACATAAAACCTGTATTTATATACTTACATAATTTTGCCATCGCTTGTACAGTGGGCCAAGATCGTGGTGTCGCTGGAGCGCGCGGTGTCGCAGAAGGACGCCCACCACTACTTGCAGGAATACAGCATTAAACTCGGCCCCGGGGACGACCCGAACGATCCGGCCTCGGAGCAGCGCGGCGTCATGGTCATCAAGAGCAAGTCCAAGACGAGGGCCAGGCAGCGCAAGGGCGCCGTCGCCAACTGGAAGGCAAGCCTTACTTTCGTTTCATTAAAAACAAATGCAACTCCATTTAATCTGGCACGGATAAATAATTTACCACTCGCACGAATGCAAACTCATGAATGTTTAATCAACGGAATGGAATGGGAAGAACAAAAAAAAAAAAAAAAAAAAACATCATAGTAACGTGTAACTCGTTTCTCGATTTGCATAGAGAGTCGGCAAGGTGACGAACGCGGCGCTGAAGAAGCGCGGCCTGACCGGGGAAGAGCTGCGGCTGATCATGTGGGGCCGAGCGTCCTTTTCCACGCCAGTCAGGACGAGGTGAGTTCCCCTCCGTTTTTTTTTTTCTCCTCGCGCGCCCGAGGTTGGGGGGGGGGAAGTTAATTATGCCAGGGCGGGGCGAGAAATTCATTAAAATGCGCGCCGGGAAGTTTCCGCCGCGGAATTTTTGCGTCGCTTCCTGCAAGCTGTTTTAAATTAACGCGGGATCGGCCGGGAAAGAGCTTTTCTTCGTTAGGGCTAATGACGGAATATTGGGGCAAGGGGAGGGGTGCTCTGTGCCGTTTCACTGCTGGGGAATAGTCATCGCGGTACTTGTTACTTACGTACGATGATTTTTTTTATTTTTTTTTTTAAACATTTTTTATCTATTTGTGACAATGGTTGATGAGACACTGATGTTTTGTTTTGTCGTGCTCCTAGTCCACTTTTGGATCAAGCCGTGTCCACTGGTGTTGGTTTCGGGGATGCTCTCACCGCTGCCCTCGATGTGATGACCTTTGCCGCGGATGCCCCGATCGTGGGCGATGCTACTTTGGCGGTGCCGCCGCAGGTTGACCAACCCGCACGAGCTCCAGTCGACGGTACTGCCAAAACTGAGCCGCCAGTCATTACAACGACAATGTCGACTGTGGCTGTCAAAGAAGAAAGTAAAACAGGTGAGGGTCGAGTGCGTGAATTTTTTTTCTTTTCGTTCCGTAAAACTGTATGATTTACGTGCGCGAGTGAATCGGTTGAAGCGAATTTAAATGTAAAACGGCGACGGAGTTAATTATGAAATTTCCTTGTGGGCACAAGGCTCGTCTCCGCTCCGCGTGTACTCTCGAGTTTTTCAAAATAATTAGTAATTTAATTACAGCCAGAGCAAGTGCTTTTTTTCCCTCTCACTCATGCGGAGCTTTGAATCGTCATGAAACGTTGAAGTAAAACCATCGAGGAACGAGAAGCGCTTCGATGACCGAAAAAACACCATAAATCTCCCACGAGCCGTAACGATATCGTAAATTACGTTTTATTACGTAATTTATACTTTGCCGAAACTTTTCTTGTTCCCACCCCCTTGTCTCCCTCATATTTTCGTGAAATTTACAACCAGCCTTTCCCCGCAGGTTTTCCCCTCGACAAACACGTTTCTTTATCGCGCCAATATACATACAAGTATATTGCAGCCTCGAAAGGAAATAAAATCACTGTCGCATTGAATTCGCTAATTATAAACATAAAAGACGGAAAAGCCGCGCGAATCAGTCCCGTCCACCCCCAAACACACACGGGCGCGCGTATCTGGAACTTTTCCAAATCGCCAAGTTTGGAGCTCGTAAAAAATGGCCCGAATTACCCCTCGAAAAGTTTGGCGTCGACGCGACGCGACATTTTTCTCCTCCTTCGCCCTCTATATTCCTCCCGTCGAGGAAAATTTCCCCCTGGAAATCCCCTTCCCCCACTTCTGACTCTCCGCATGAAAGATTTCGCGGTGGAATGAAGCAACCCTATACATATATATACACACTCGCGGCGAGGGACGAGGTCAATGATTCTACCCTTTCGCTGTACGAGCGAGCGGATAATTAAACGCGTATATACCTATTACACCCCACCCCTGGTTTCCTATCGTGTAAATTACGCGAAAAATAATAATCCCACCGCCGAGCTCTTTCAAAGGAGGTAACCCTCTGCTGCTGTATTTTCAGTGCAAATGATGCTCTTCAGCGTTGCATCGCTGAGATAACGCTTTCTCCCCACACTTTCCGGGGCTGCCGATCAAATCCTGGAAAAAAAAATACCCACTTGTGTGTATACGTATGTATCCGTGAAAATTAATCACTCGCAACTCCGGACCGGCCGTATCGGCAGGGCGAGCGAAACTCTGACGGGAGGCGATCGAGATAAATGACAGTACAGAGCTCCTTGGGATAAAAACTTGGGATGGAAAAAAGTTTCAGCCGCAGGCGTGCCCAGCTGGAGCGACGATCCACTGTTGGACCTGATGCTCGCCATCGAGAGGGCCTGCGACGAGGAGACGCTCCAACGCCTGGCGCGCTCGGCCCAGATCGCCGGGGAGAAGGCTCGAGCCAAGCCCGAAGGCGACCAGCACGCCTACCTCGAGAAGCTCGCCCTCGGTGGCCTCGGACTCGCACCCCTGCCCAACGACCCAAAGCCCAAGCCCCCGAAGGAGCATTACTTCACCGAGTCCAGCGACAACGACATTTTTCCAAGTGAGTCGTTTCTTTCTTTCGCTTTCTTTCGCTTCGCCACCGTGGCACCCCAGTTGATCAAAATACCCCCGTAGAATAACACCCACCACCGCCCCGTATTGCGCGCTTATAGGGTCGAAAAAAAGGAAAAAAATGTTGATAAAACCCACAGACGAGGGCCAGCTGGACACGGAGTTGAGGCTGCAGCGCATGAGGTCGTTGACGAGTCGGTTGGCAAGTGAGCGGAAGTCCGTTGACGCGGTAGCGTCGGAGTGGACCTTGCTCCCCCCGGTGTCGTCGTTCCTCGACTCCTCGCTCGACGACACTTCCGGCTGCCGGTTCCTCGCTCGTCCGCCAGCAGTGGTGGGACGGCTGGCGGAAACTCGGGCGGTCACGCTGCCCGGCCCAGTGGCTGGAGTTGCTGTCGCGGTTGGTACGGGCGCAACGGGCGAGCAGTGCCAACGACAGGGGAAGCGCACGAGCAAGCGAACAAAGCGCCACAAGAGACCAAGGACGGCCACGAATCGGTGGGTGGTTCCTTTTTCCTTTCCTTTCGTCGTATACTATTTGTACTATCGTATAAGGAGCGTGTAAATGCGGAGGTGGGTTCCCAGCCGAGTGGGAAATGGGCTCTCCCTTGATGGCCGAGCGGTGAAAAATTTAGCCGGAAAGAAGCTTTCAGCTTCTCTCATTTTTGCTTTTCATTCGGATACTGGATGTATTGTGCGCCCATTTGCACTTTCCGATAAATCATACTCCCACGCATGTTGATAATATCTCTTGGAGTGGATCCTTTTTTTTTTCATCCTGTTTTGCATGATCGTGGGGGGATCATTCGATTGGTTTTACACGCGCTGAAACTTTGATTCATACATTTCGTGCTTGCGATCCTGTTGATACTGATTTATGGGCAGTTAATACATATTTATCAAAGATAAAAAAAGTAAAAATGCGATCGCGTCTGACCAATGGGTGTCCGTTACTACTAGATAAAAAGATTACACTCAAAGTTATATACGCTGGTAGATCCAAGTTTCAATATATATATTCTGTCGAATGGAAATAAAGGTGGTTCAATACCGTGGGTCTAAGGGGGAGGGGAAGGAAATTCACATTGTGTGTAGTATAGGTGCATTGTCGACGCATATCCTTTGCAGGGTGTCGCCGAAGGAGACGAGCGAGATTCCAAGTGGCAAAGCAAAGCCGTCCGTCTCGGCCGGGAGCGCCACGACTGCGAGCGACGGCAACAAGGGGTCGCTGGCCAGCGGTTCCTCCGGGACCGCCGATCCACTGGAGCCTTGGAGCACACGCGGCATCAAAGACATGAACGCCATACTCGCCTGGAACGAGCGACCCGACCCCGACGTCCCTTGATCCCTCCCCCCGTCCACCCAATAACCCTCCCCTCCCATGTACTCCGCGACTCCGGTATCTGGCAGCGGATCTCTCCTCTGGGATATTCACCCGGACTTTGGTTCTACTTTACATCTCTACTGTGCTCCTGGTTTTTATGATTGTCCCGTTCGCCACTAATGTTCCAAATTGCTTCGCATGTTTTACCAGGATATACATCACGAATATAAATAAAAACACGTACTTGCGACAAAAAATAAAATAAAATAAAAAAAATGTTTGTCATTCGATCCCCGTCATGCGCGAAAACGCCGAAAAATCCAAGTTTATGATGTAACCGCAGGGATAGTGTGTACAAACGGGGCGAGTTGGGATGAACAAATGAATAAACAGAACCAAAGGATACGAGGGAGAGTGAGATAAATAATTCAGCCCGTCCGGTTGGTCGGGCCATTAATTATTTTCGAAGGACAATTTGCCGGACGACGCAATCGGAATCACGTTAGTTCGGGCTGGCTGTATCTCGGGGGCCCGGCTGCTTTATTGAAAAAAATTGCCATTTCTCATCCACCGCTATCTCCGCCCTGCTCCCCCTCTCTCTCTTCTGCAGCGACGTTACCTACCTCACTACCCCTTTTTTTCTTTCTTTTTCCGTCTCTATCTCCGACGCCGTAATCGTTCCTATTTTTTTTTTTTTTTTTTTTTTTCCAACCCTTTACCAGCTCCAATACGCGCGTGCACAGCCTCACTCGTACAGGTCGAGATACATGTCCTTTCATTTTACCTTTTTTCGTACACGCGGGCGCTTTGAAAAATTCCTCCCGAAGAGCTACTCCTGGAGGGCAATTAAGTAATGTAAATATGGTCCCGGTAATTTGCATTTTTCCAAAGTGGCGCGGGGAATTAAAAAATACATATAACATATAACTCGTCGCACACCATAACCCGTCCTGCGCTCATTTTACACGTACACATATACATATACTGCGTATACAATTTCAAGGGTGTGTTGGGCAAACTTTAAAATTAAATTTAAAATTTTCACGAGACGAGCTTTATTTCGCGCTCAACGGGAAAACTAATTAGCTGACCGATCCGTCACGAGGTAGCATCAGGATGAAATAATTGAATTTGTAATTGCGCAGTTACTTTGACCCCGAGAACAACGTTGGCACCAAGGAATGCGCAATATCATAATGCTGCCCGATCAATATTGTATATATTACCTTTACACATCCGAGCCCCCGATGGATATTGGATCTTGTAGTGTAGTACACACTTGGTTGATGATCGAGTGAGCAGTGAAGATTAGGTGCCAATATCTGCACGTTCGGAGTGTACGATACGTTTTGCGATTGCAGCGTTGCATGTATTTGTATGGAATGTATACTCTATCCATCCAAAAGTCAACGCAAACACACCGTCTAATCTTTGAAACGCTCTCCCGGCAACTGATCACTCCGAGCCTTCGATTGTACCTATTCACATCTCCGGCCTCACCGTTGGTTTTAAAATAACAGACTGCAAAGTAGGTCGACTTCAAGGGATGTACTCCGGGGAAATTTTCTATTTCCATACAGGGCGCCGAGCGAGGGGTTGTAAAATATCCCGGGCGGAAATGACTTTTTGATTCGCGAACATCCGGGGAGTGTACGGCGCGCGAAAAATCACAAATTCACGCTTCCTCCTATATGATGCGTATTATGTCGTAATAACCGACTTTTTTTGTAATAAATTATCCGTCCATGGACTCCCAGGAGCGACGCGACAATTGCTTCTGTTTATTTCGGTATTTCCAACGCGAGTTTGTACATATACATATATAACCACGTCCCAAAAGAGAGGACCATTCGATATTCGGAGCGAAAAATTCTGTCGCGGTGAATAAAACAGGGGTTTTTCCCTCGATCACGGAAGCGGAGCATTTTGACGCGCCCTCGAGGCTTCCCTGCGCGCCCTGTTTATGAATAAAAAATGTCCCAAAGTACCTTGGCGCGTCCCACGTCACACCGTGAGCCGTGGGGGGATAAAGCCACTGCGCCCACGTGCACGAGACGAAATCGACTTTTGATGATCGTTACAATAACCCGACACCCCCTCCCTTCTACTCCAAAGCCGTCCCATGATCCACTCCGAGCGGAGAGATGAGAATTTTATTACCTCTGTCTATCGTGGACAGTGATGAAAAGGTTTGGTGCGGCCTAATGAAAAATTCATCGAACTACCTACTGAACGCGCTGTTTTCCGGGTGACCACAACTTGTGCATCCATTTGGTCGAGGACACCGTATCGTTGGGAGCAAAGACTATTTTTGATAGCAATATCGCCCGTAAATAAAGATTTTCACTTTCTGCTGATATACATATATGCATGTGCACCCTGGAATAAGGTGCGTGAAAGTTTGTACGCATACTCAATTTGGTTAAAATTGTGTATGAGTCGAGGTATTTCAGTTGTAATTAAACTCGGGCCAAAGTTATAACGCGTTCGCTCAAGAAGAAGTTAAAAGCGGCTTAAGCTTGACTTTCGTTGTCATTTGAGTTGCCGGAGTTATTGAAGTTTGATTGCGAGGTTGAAAAATAACAGCTAGTCTTGGTGCAATCAATATACTTTTGCCGCTTTATCGCAGACTCGAATTTGAGCGGAATGCGCTCGATATAGTAACATATACGAATAAAAACGACACAAGAAATTTTTGACGGATAGTCATTATTTTCGTTTGATCGTTTGGCTTGAAACTATAGAAAGAGGGACAGAGAGAGAGAGAGAGAGAAAAAAAAATACTCGAGCAAGAGTAGGTAACACTAACAACAATAATCTCGCGCTCGAGTTCAATTCAAGCGTGAAAACGATCGAAAGGAAGGATAATTCGCCCGCGCGCGTCGCAGCATCAACGCGGGAAAATACACATCCCATCGCGAGCGCTGTGCCCCCCATCCCCCCAACGAGCCCGTTTAAAGCGTCTTCCGCGTCACCGCTCGAGCAAAAGAGTACCTCGTTGATTATTGGCTATAACAGTGCACACACGCTGCAATGGAAGGGGAGAGCAGAGAGAGAGAGAGAACATACACCTATATATACAATGGGGGGGGGGAGATGATTATACCCAGGCGTATAGCGCGAATTTTCCCGCTGTTTCGTGGCGTTGGCTTTTAACGCGCCGAAGGACGAAACAATGACATCGCCTCTTGACACCGTTGCCTGCCGTACATATAGGGGCTACAGGGGCGTTAAAAGGGGGCGATCATCGCGAACGATCCAATCGAAGCGAATTTCCGGCTTGCCTTATCGCTGCAGCGCGCATGTGTGTGTGTGTGTGTGTGTGTAGGTGGGACGAGCGGCGCACACCACCGAGCGTTAAAAAAATGAATCGCCATCGTCGTTGTTGTTGCCGTTGTTGTGTGCATGGGCTCCCCGGGCTTGGAGGTGTATACGGTGTGTGGTGCAAGCGCGAACGTTGTAATTGCCGATAATGGCGCCGATATTGCCTTTTACCTTTCACGCGCGCCGCATCGGAGGGAGGAACGAGACGAAAGACCATGGACTACGTTCTGTCTGCTGTTGATGGGACCTAATTAGGTGATTCGTACGTATAGGGAGCCCGGATAGTGTGTCTGTACCGATTGTTCGTCAAGTGACATTTGCTATCATAGATTTTTTTTTTTTTTTTTTTCTACACCGATATACTCTTGATGACAGATACATTAAAATCTCTTGTTTCGAGGATAAAGAGCACAGGCTCAACTCTAATGCCTACAGAGGTATTATTTGGTGGATCAAATTGATTTATCAATTTTGGAAGTAAAACCATTTTTATCGCTTCATTTTGATGTTGCACGTTTTGTGCACGTAATCGATATAATATGATTTAACTTTGTATAAATACGCGATTGTACATATTCCATCAATCATTCCTTGTGCATTTGATGTCTCGTTGCCGTTAGTTATTTAATCAAAAAGTGCGCACAATCGCATGAATATTGTATTTCGTACGATATGCATCTAAAGTAATTAAATAATTTATTACCGTTTAATTATAACGCTACAGCATGTCTGTTGATTCACGGAGAATTTGCTTGATCATGAATACACACAATACAACGAAACCACACTTGTGTACCGGTTGAAATTGATATTGAACGTGTGCCCGACAAATTATTCATTCGAGCCGTTCAAGGGGGCATCAAAAAGTTTGTAAAAAGGAGCATTGACGACAAATTTGATGGGTAAAATAATACGAAAATGGAACAATGGCCCCACGATATACGGTATGCGCATATCTCTTTCGATCAAAATATATGTATATATTGATGCGTCGGTTTCTGCGCAAATCGGGGATGCAAGGGTGTGTTTACGAAGCAACTTACACCCACACCTGCACCTCACAGTCGAGGATGCTGTTAAAACGCATTCGCAGGTTATGCCATACACGTACATCCATCGGACGATCCACACAATGCCACACTGACAAAATAAGCTCCCCGACGCAATGGGGGTTAATCTGATTTCCATTCATCGGGATTCAGTTTGTACATGCATATTATACACCCGCGCGTGAAATGCAAATTTTCCATATCACGCTCAAAACTAAAAAGCAGCTGATAATCATCAAAAAGAACGGGGGAGTTGAATATAAACCGGGGCTTTTTTTTCCCCCACCGCGCGATACCTGTGCCATACGTGAGCTTTTCAAATTCAAACTAGCAGAGAGTCGTGTACGTTGAAAATACTAATGAGGCTGAAAGTACGGTATATAACGTGCTTTGAACAAGTTTAAACAAAATAGGCTAGGGTCCGAACGTGAAAGCTTCAATATCATTCAGCCAAGTTTTTTTTTTTTTTTCATACATTGAACGTATAGGTATCCCCAAATTTTCGGTGGCATTTATTTGAATTTTGTTATGTTATACACTTACTTTCTATGTGTGTGCAGTCCCTTTGGATAAAAATGTCAGAATGTATACGCCGAGACGACAACTCGCAGTGTCTTGTATTTTCGGAGCTTCGTGGCGTCATATTTTATTTTGGAACATTAAAATTATTGGTGAAAGATCAACTCGTTCACACATAACCCATAGAAAGTGTAGAGCCCATAATATCTGCGCGTCATTTGCTCAGAAAAGTTGTATCCGATAAGCGCTTTACGCTTTTTTGGGCCAAAGAC